CACTTCAAAGATGTAGAAGCAGAGAGGTATAGCATGTCAACCCCTCCAGCCAAAAACCACCAGGAGCTCAACTGCAGTTGACAAGCGGGGTTTATTACAAATTGCATGGAGGGAGAATGCATACCAGAGGGAACCATTAACATCTCAGTAATAAAAGTGTCAGAAAAAAAAGCCTCTTAACAGGATGTAGGCTTTGGTTGGGTGATTCGGGGAAGAGTCCAGAAGAGCAGGGCTTTGTTCTAGATTGGATGCTGTCAGAAAGCAGGGACAAGTCCATGACTGAGTATCTCAAGAATTCTTACCTATAAGTGGGACACACAAGAGCAGGAATAAAGTTGTAACTGGTAAAGAATTAGCAGTCACTCATAAATAGTAATATTGGCAAAGGCTAGAAAAAGTCATGCTAGACAGGAACAGGCATTGTTCTTGGTCACACTAGGTGAGAATCGTTGTTGATTCTTTGTGCAGAAGACTTTGATATTGATTTCAGAAATTGAAAGAATCATATTTTAGTTATTAAGCATGTCTAGTTCACAGTCTAGAGACGAGGGATGGGGAACATTTTTTCTGCCAAAGGCTATTTGGATATTTCTAACATCATTCGTTGGCCATACTAACTTATAAACTTAAAAATTAGCCTGCTATATTTGATCAAACATTTAATTAACTCACCCCTAATGCCTTGGCAGGGCCAGACCAAATGATTTCATGGGCCTTATATGGCCTGAAGGCCGGATATTCCCCCACCCCTGTTCTAGACCATGGCTCTGGATATATTACTCAAATAATTTTTGTGCCCTCTTCAATGTTAAAGTACCTTTCCTGTGATCATTTTGCAGTTACCTGGAATAGGGAAACTACCTATTTTGGTCAAGTTTAGGATGTCCAGAGGGGTGAAAACAGGTAAAAGTCATTGCTTGCTTTTCAAACTATCTGTGGTGAAGAAACAGTTTATTTTCTCCCCACTTGGTCTCATACTAATAATGTTGTAAATACAATAAAAACTAATTACTAGAAAAAATAAAGTAAAATAAACAAGACACAAAACTCCAGCCCCATTTTTTATTAGAACCAACACAAATATAATAACTGCCAAATTGCTATAAAAGTTTCTATATATTGTCTCACTTTCTTCATTTAACCTGTCACAAACATTCAAAGAGGAATTAACCCCTATCCTCCTCAAACTATTTCAAAAAATTCAAGAGGAAGAAAGACTTCCAAGCCCTTTTTATGAGTCCGGTATTATCCTAATTCCAAAACCAGATAAAGACCCTACAAAATGAAAAAAATTACAGGGCAATATCTCCAAAGAACATAGTTGCTAAAATCCTCAAAAAAATATTCGGATCCAGCAACACATTAAGAAGATCATACACCATGATCAAGTGAGATTTATTCCAGAGATGCAAAGCTGGTACAATATTCACAAATCAATAAATGTGATTCATCACATAAATAAAATGAAGGCTAAAAATGACACGATCATATCAATAGATGCAGAAAAAGCATTCGACAAAATACAGCACCTGTTTATGATAAAAACTCTCGGCAAAGAGGAAATAGAGAGACTATACATCAACATACAAACTTACAACCAACATCACACTCAATGGGCAAAAACTAAAAGAGTTTCGCTTAAGATAAGGAACACAACAGGGATGTCCGCCTTCACAGTCTCATTCAATATAGTACTGGAAATCCTAGCCATGGTGATCAGGCAAGAAGAAAAAATAAAAGGCATCAAAATTGGAAAGAAAGAAGTAAAACTGCCATTATTCGCAAATGACATGATATTGTACACAGAAAACCCTAAATACTCCATCAAAAAAACTTCTAGATTTAATAAATGACTTTGGCAAAGGATACAAAATTATCATCCAGAAATCAATGGCATTTTTATACATCAATAATGAACTCTCAGAAAGAGAAACTAAACTAATAATCGCACTGACCACTGCAACAACAACAAAAAATAATATACCTGGGAATAAACTTAACCAAGGAAAACCATAGGACATTGAAAAAGGAAAGAGAGGAAGATACAAACAAGTGGAAGCATATACTGTGTTCATGGATTGGAAGAATTAACATCATTCAAATGTCCATACTACCCAAAGCAATCCCTATTAAAATACCAATGGCATATTTCACAGATATAGAACATTCCAAAAAATTTAGATGGAACCAAAAAAGACCCCAAATAGCCACAGCAATCTTGAGAAAGAATAGCAAAATTGGAGGGATCACAATACCGGATATCAAACTATACTATAAAGCCATTTAAATCAAAATAGCCTGGTACTGACAGAAGAACAGGCATATAGACCAATGGAACAGAACAGAGAACCCAGAAATCGACCCATGCCAATATGGTCAATTAATATTTGACAAAGGAGGCAAGAGCATACAATAGAGTACAATAGTCTCATCAATAAATGGTGCTGGGAAAATTGGACAGGTACATGCAAAAAGAAAAAAGAAACTAGACCACAAACTTACATCATACACAAGAATAAACTCAAAATGGAAAAAAAGACTTAAATGTAAGTCGCAAAACTATAAAAGTCTCAAAACGTGTCACATAGCAATATTTTTACCAATACATCTTCTAGAGTAAGAAAAACAAAGAAAAAAAAATGGGACTACATCAAACTAAAAAGCATCTGCACAACAAAAAAGCTATCAAAAAAGTGAAAAGGGAACCCACTGGATGGGAGAACATATTCACCAATGGTATAACAGATAAGGAATTAATTTCCAAAATATACAAAGAAATCATACAACTCAACACCAGGAAGGCAAACAATCGAATTTAAAAATGACCAAAGAAGACAGATGGCCAACAGACATATGAAAAAGTGTTCAACATCACTAATCATCAGAGAGATGCAAATTAAAGTTACATCGAAGTGTCACCTCACACCTGCCAGAATGGCTGCCATCAATAAATCAACAAACAGCAAGTGCTGATAAGGATGTGGAGAAAAGGGAACTCTAGTACAATGCTGTTGAGAATGCAGACTGGTGCAGTCACTGTGGACAATATGGAGTTTCTTCAAAAAATTAAAATGGAATTGCCTTATGAGCCAGCATTCCCTCTTCTGGGAATATATCCTAAAAATCTCAAAACACCAATTAGAAAGAATACATGTACCCCTATGTTCATAGAGCATTATTTACAATAGCTAAGATCTAGAAACAGCCCAAGTGCTCATCAATAAATGAGTAGATAAAAAAAGCTGTGGTATATTTACACCATGGAATACTGTGTGGCTGTAAAAAAAAAAAAAAAAAAAAGAGTGTTTTATGCTAAGCGAAATAAGCCAGTTAGAGAAAAACAAACATCACATTATCTCACTTATATGTGGAATCTAATGAACAAAATAAACTGACAAACAAAATAGGTCCAGAGACACGGATGCATGGAAAAGACTGAGAGATCTCAGAGGGCTGGGAGCAGGAGGGGATGGGAAGAGATTAACCAAAGAACATATGTGCACATATGCATAGCCCATGGACACAGACAATAGTGTGGGGAAGGCCTGGGGAGGGGTGGGGGCTCGGTGTAGGGGGGCAAAGTGGAGGTAAGTGGGGGACAACTGTAATACTATCAACAATAAATAAAAAACAAAATAACTAACTAAATCAATAAAATAAATTAGGTAAAAAAATTTAAATGCTGAATTAAATTTTATACTCAATATAATTTAGTTATAACTATTATAAAATACCTTTTATAAAACTTATTTCCATTTTATAGCTTAGCAGTACTAATTCAAGCTCTCTCTGTGAGTACTTTAAACTTCAATGACTTAGCTAATTCAGGTCCATTCAGCCTTCATGAAGAATAAGAAGAATTTGAAAGATTCCTCATGTCTTTAAACCCCAGAACATGGTCCAACCCCAAATATGAGGGTATGGATCCTCAACTAATGGGATCCAACTTGGAGAGTCAGACCTGCCACACATATTCTATTCAGTTCTTGCGTGCTTTTAAAATTCTATAGAACATCATGAGGTAGTATAAGACTGAAAACTAAAGCCTAAAACAATGAACTCACCAAAATTTGATGAAACATGGTATCCTAAATCCTTTGGGTGGATCTTAGGCATAGAGAGGATAATGCACAGTATTCATGGTACTGGTGGAGGACCGAGATGGAATAATTATAAGCAGG